GGAGGTCTATTCACATACATTTTGGATTAACTTCAAGATGAAGCAGTTTTACTGCCATCAGTCCCATGTGGCCAGGACACACCAGTAGGAATGACTTGGGCAGGAACACCTAATTCCCTTCTCTTACAGGAAAAGCAATGGGGAACAGGTGCTGCTAAACCCTGGACACAGGAGGAACCATGGTCAAACCACAGCTCCCTCCTGGCTTTGCCAAGGGACAAGGATACTGCACTACCAGACCTAAGGCCACACCAGGTCCTGCTCAGAGAGCTGAACACTTGCTCCCAGTGTCCCACAGGCTGCTTCAGCCAAGCAGGACAATCTCCATGGACATATGGATTGGACATCTCTGAAAAAAAAATAAAAATTGCTTGATATTTAATTGCAGGGTTGGCAATTGGTGCTTCCATGATGTACAGTGCGTGGAATGAAATTACAGGGACAGCATCAATAAACAGTATAGACAGTTTTCATCAGGAATTAGCCAAGGACTTAGAGCAAAAAGCATCGTGGGGCACACAGAGTGCTTGCTGTATTAGCATTATCTCTGCACACACAGGACAGCACTCGTTACAAATACCTGAATGAATCATCTAATGGATGGGAATTCAGGACACTTGAGCACTAGCTGGGGTCCTGTGCTCATGGAAACACTGCTGAGGATTCAGCTTATCTCTCAGAAGCACAGAGCTTCTGAAACTCTATTTTTCTGGAGTATCTCTGGACAGTGGAAAATAAAAATTGGAAAAAGCCAGAGACAAAATTGCAGCTGAAGAGTTTCAGATCCAATGAAAGAATTCAATTTAGCTTAGGATGCTAATTTTTATTTAAAAGCTGGACTTCACAAGAGAGGCCAGGGTCAGAGCCTGTGCAGGGCTCTGCTCCCAGCAGCACAGGTAGGTCCCAAGGACATGCCAGCAGGGAGCCAGCATGGATGTCATGGAAATGCTGGAGCTGTGTCTGAGCCTTGCAGCTTCATAAATCTGTGTAACCCCTGGAGGAGGAAGGATGTGAGACTTCCTGGGGAGCTGGCAACTTCCCAGAAGCCTTCCCTCTCTCCAGTCTTCTGTCCAGGGGCTGCAGCACTGCAGTGCTAATGCACATCCAAATAGCTCTGTTCTTCCCATGGGTGGGAGTGTGCCTCTCCCACCAAAAAGCTGCAAGGATTTAGATCTCAGATCACCACAGGGAAACTTCAGGGCTTTCCTGAGAAAGTAAATGCTCCTGTTCTTCCTTTGTTCCTCTGTGGGAGTCAGAAAAACAGAAACTTCTACAAATACTGAAGAGTTTAATCTGCAGCCTTGGAAGGGGCTTGGATTGATTTAAAAATAAAGTACACAGACATTAAGTAGAAGAATCATAAACTTATGTTGCTATAGTTGTAAGAATGTACCTTAAGGTAGAAACTGTATTGATAAGATAGTGAAAGGTTTATCATGTAGAGGTGTGATTGTACAGAGTACAAGAGAGTTCTGAGAACTCTGTTAGAATTTTCTTGTACTTAGAGTTCTTAGAGAGTACTATAAGTACAAGAAAGTTCTAACTTCTAAGAGTTTGGAAGTTATAATTGAAGCATATGTGTGTAAGTGTGACAAAAGCCTATTAGACAAAAGTACCCACAGTGCAGTAGGAATAAGTAAAGGTGATAGGTTAGAAAAGCAAAATACACCTTGTGGCAACTGTTCATTAGAGTAGAAAGTTCTATATTGTCTTGTAACAAAGAACTTGTGACTACTTTGAGCTATGGCTGACTTCTTGCTCCCTTAAAATCCCACAGCCTCTGAGACTGATGTTTATCTGAGCAATAAATGGTTCTTAGCCTGAAAATAGTCCCATCCCTTTATTACTAGCAGCAACAATGATATTCCTTGACTTCAAAGCTTATGTGTGAGAAGGTTTATGATCTCCTTGCTTTCCTCCTGCCCACCTCTGTCCCCAAGGAGCTGTGCTGCTGGAACATTGAACCACCACTGCCAGCACAGAGAAAGAGCACGGTGCCCTGATGGACTCCTTGGCCACTAAACCTGCACTGGTGCAGCTAAGGTGGGAAATACAGTATTTTCCATACTTCTTATTCCCTGAAAATGCAGCTCTTGTCTGTGTGTTTAACTTCACCAAGCTGCCTCACTATCTCCCCATAAATGCAATTTGCCAGAAATAGTGAACACAAACTACCTGAGCTGTATCCTTTCATTTGGTGTCCATGGCTGCAGCAGCACCCTAATGAGTTTGTGCAATATGAATATGCACAAGCATAAATCAGAGACTAACCAAAGGAAACACCCAGACAGAATCAGACAAGTGCAGACAGAGAGCTCTGACAGCATTTCAATTCCATGTGACTCTTGTAGCTGACATCCATCTGTACTGAGCTATGCACAGCAGATGCACTATTACCTTAAAGGGGTGATTGTGTTTTCTTTAAATCAATCTTCACTAAAAGAATAGTCAATGTACTGAGAAACTGACTGCTTCACAAAGGCAACAGAAATGTATGTGGCTTTCTGCACACATGTATTACACCTCCAGAAAACACCTCTGCAAAGGAAACCAGGAGTGCAGGGCTTCCAGCTCAGCCCTCTCTGACCTCTCTGTCTGATGTGGGTCAGACAGCCTGGCTCACAAACTGCAGACTTTTGGCAAAAGGTAATTCCAGCTTTGTTTAAATGTTAGATTGTTGTACAATGCCAGAGAAAAACTGCCAGCAAGTTACTGAAAAGAGGATACAGTCTTGTTACTGTCATTAAATTGAATTGCAAAGCAAAGCTCCCACTGTCTTCAGTGGTACAAGATCACAGTTTCAAACCAAGATGGGAAATTGTGAGCTGAGGAAAGGAGATGTCACGTCAAGAATGTGATGGAGTCTCTCTGTATGGCAAAAATGAGGCCTGGGGTCTCTTTCTGCAGCTCTGCTGAGTTCAAGATCACATGTGTGCAAGCAGCTGAAATGGTGTGCTTTGAAGTTGGTAAAAGGCATTGTGAAAGTTATTTAAATTTTCATGTAATAACAACACCACCACCACTAATGATAATATTAGAAATAAATGCCTGTGTTTTCATTCCATGAATATCCCAGTGACCATGCTGGCTGCCCAAATAACAAGCTGTAAATAAATCTTTCAGAATATTAAATCTAGGATTTTCACTGGAATCTCCTCAGCTCTAGTGGGCTCCTCAATTGGGCTGGTACCAAAACAGAGGGCAAAGGGAGCTGTTGTAAAAGCAAGTACATTTTTCTATTAAGCCTTTCTCCTTTAAATGTGTCCCAGTGTTTCCAGCAAACATGGGAGAGGGATGAATATAACAAAGGCACTGTGTCAGACCCTGCCCTCTCAGCCCTGTGTTGGTGTAAGAGGCAGAACTTCACTGGGGCAAACCAAGCTCCAGTGATTCACATCCCTGTGACAGGGAGTGCCTTCCAGAGGTAACTGCTGCCCTTCCCTTCTTTGCTCAGAAGCTGGCAGGAAAGGAAACAACCTCTCCAGAGACAGCTTGTAGTAAACCTGATGTATTTCAGATTACCATCAATTAACTCTTGTAGTCACAAAAAGAAAGTTTCTCACTTAGTGCTAAATTGTGCTTCATCCCTACTTCACTGTCATTCAGTGATGCAGGAGAAATGCTACATGAATCCAGGCATCTCCAGTTTCCTTGCCTTGAAAACAGCAGCAATTTCCTTTCAAACTGGCTATTAAGCCCAGATTTTGTCTTCCTTATTCCCAGAAAGGCCTGATTTCCTCAGGAGAGGGTAAGGAGCTTCCTGCAGGTATGGCCAGGGCATGGACACTGGCTCAGGTTATACACTTGGCTCTCACTCACCTCTTCCCTGTCTCACATGCTGTATTCAGTTCACACCTGGGTGTGAATTTGGGACTACCTCAGCCAAGGATAAATGTCCAAAAGGTGTCTAAACCATGAGGAATAACAACAGCATTTCAAAGGGACTATACTTAGTATTTAAACTGTGACTCTGGACCAAAAGGAGGCTGGAGAGAAAACAAGTGCCTGGTTAAAACACAGCTGATGCCTGTGTGAATGCCCTCACATGATGAATGCATTTCACCAGCTCTCAGTTATGTGAGAAGGGTGGCAAGTGAGATGTTGAAAGGCTGGAGCCAAGCACAGGAACAGGCAGAGGAGGGAAAACAGATTCCAGACATCTGACTTAGCTGCTCACCTGCAGCAGGGCACAGACATGCAGGACAGGATTCAACACCCCAGAGCTCCCCCACAGCAGGACTGACACTGCTCTGCAGCTGTCAGGAGTTAGGGAGTAGAGAAAGACACCTCCAGAAAGGAACTTATCCCACTGGAAATGCCCCAGAGATAGGCAGCAACGTTCAGTACCACGGAATGAAGTCTGGGGGAAGAGCTCAGATTGTATCCCTACCCCTCAGATGGCTGGAGTTCTGTGAGCTGAATTCCCCTGAACACTCTCCCAAGTCCCCATGTGCAGGGAAGAGCATTTCCTCCCCTGACAGGGAGGGTGCCCAGCTCAGCCTGCCAGCATCTACCACGTGCTCAGCACAAACACACATTTGGGAAGGGGGGCTATGAAAGCATCACATGCAAACTGGAAAAGGGGCTGGCTTGGAAATCTGCCTCCATTCACAAAAGCTCCATTATCTGCATATTCCAGCTGCCTTCAGTTCGTTCAGTGCCAGCCCTGCCAAGTGAACAGGATGGCAGCACCAGGGCTGTGCACTTCCTGGCCACATCACAGTGCAGATGCAGCCCTGCTTGACTTCAGCAGCCTCAGCTGTGCTTTCAGGACAGGCAGCTCAAGCTGAGCCTTTGTTCACTCAAGGCTGGGCTATTAATTTAGAATTCACTGAGGCACAATGAACAGGGAGCCCAGTGACAACATTTTTATAGCCACTCTCCTTACAAAGGGAGCTTGTAATTCCCAAGGCAGAGCTGGCCTCTGTTTGATTGGTGTACTTAAATCTCCACCTGTGCTTTTATAATAACCAATATTTTCTGTCAGAGCTTGCTCTTACCCTGTTGGAATCAATTCTTGTCCTGGAGGTGTAGATGGGAGGAGGAATGTTGAAGGCTTGAGGAACAAGATACTCTTCAGCATCCATCATATCTTCCAGGTCTTCCTCATCAAGAAGATTTTGGAAGAACTTGCTGTCATTTGGGCTTGGGAGCTTCATACGATCATCTCCCTGAACAGATTGTATTGAGAGAGGAAAAACATCAAAAGATGGATTAACTTCCCAATGAGAGAATTTCAGCCTTCCTAATGCCCTGGCAGCCAGGCTGCAGGGACCACACATGCTGCTTTGTTTGTTCAAAAGCTCTATATCCACATAATTTGTGGGTTTGTTTTGTTGTTTGTTGGTTTTTGTTTTTTTTCTTACTGGGAATATGATGACAAGAAGGGAGTAGCTGCATGAATCAAGCAAAACCATGTTTTTGGCATTCTTGTGATTGAGCTTTTATTCTTTCTTCTCTCTTTTTCCCATACAAGATCAGTTTCTGACCCAAGTTCTGACATATTTTGTCAAATATCTCAGCTATTTAGGCTCAGATAGGAGGGGTGGGGAGTAACACTTCAAAACATTCCAAGCCAACACCCCTAAGAGTTGGGTGCTGCAGAAAGAATTGTTTTTCCACCCCTGTGATGCTGCAGGGTTGCTCACCTGAATCACCAGGTATCTCTGAGGGTCTCGAGCCATTCTGGAGAATTCAGCAGCCAGCTCCTTGAATTTTGGCCGACTGTCAGCATCAATCATCCAGCCTGGATGAAAGATGAGAAAGAAAACAGTTAAATGTCAAGGATGGAAATAATTCTGGTTTTTTTCAAATGCACAAATTTGAAGTGCTTGATAGCTCTGGCCCAAAGAAAAGTTGCAATAAAGAACCCAGAAGAATGGAAAGTTAGAATTCTATGATTCATAAAAGGGGAAACACCTGGTTTTGGCCAGGCTGGATTGTTCCTTACTACATGGAATTCTCCTTAATTTGCTGGGCTCCTCTCTGTCCCACAGCCAGCAACACCACCTTGCAATTTTCTCCACCTTGCACACTTGGATATCAGCCCTGACTGACTTTTATTAAGGATGTGTCTCACCACATGGGACATTTTTTGCACTCAACAAAGCCCTTGCACAATTTAATTTCCACACTTCCATGCACAGTACAACTGTTTTCAGAAGATACTTAATTTACTTCTAGTTGTCCTTTCCTTTTTTTGTTTTTTTTGCAGGGCTTTTGTGTACAAAGCAAAAGGGAAAGGAGTATATATGATGGATGAGATGTCTGTATGTTAATCTCACTTAAATTAAGCCAGAAATATCAGAGAGATATTTCTAATTCTTTTTAAATTAGAAGCATAACCTTGGAGGATACTGTCATTAGAGGGGGTATCTTGGAGATAAAAAAACTTGGAAGAAACCATGTACAGACTTTTTTCCTTTTTTACTAGAGTAAAAATATTCATAAATTTTTATACTGGACTAAGAATGACAAAAAAATAATCCTCTCTGTAGCATTTCTTCTATTAATTTTACTTTTTATTATTACTATTTCAATCATCATTCTTTCTACTAACAATAAAACCTTCGTGATTTCTTTCCTCAATATTTGGAAATGGGGTTTCTCCTCACAGCCTTCTCTGGCTGGGTATCCATGTGCCATAATTATTTTTAATCCTATCTTTTTTACATCAGAATCAATTGTCATGGAAATGACAAGGGTTTACAATAACAATCAGACAATTTTGACTTCACAGCAAGAATATGAGATAACATCTGACAGTAATAAGAGGCTGAGCTAACTGGGCCCTTCATAGCTAACAATTGCAAAACTGCAGAAGATGTGCAGACAGTGTTAAAATGGAATTTACAGTATCTTGGGAAGCTTTTGTTTGGCTGCAGCAGCAGCTTGCCCTGTTTCCCAGCTCTGCCAGAGACTACCTATGGAAATGTTCCAAACCAGGGTCCCCCCTGCAGCCAACACAGAGGTATCAAAAGTGACAATTCCTTACACTTCACCATATAAACATGCCAAACTAAACTCTACTAAAAAATACAAAAAGGTTTTAGACAGAAAGCTAGAAGATAATAATGAAAACTCGTGACTCCTTTCAGAGTCTCGACACAGCTTGGCCGTGATTGGTCATTGAGTAAAAACAACACACATGAAACCAATGAAACAACCACCTGTTAGTAAACAATGCCCAAAAGCATTCTAAAACAGCAAACACAGAAGAAACAAATCAGATACTTGCTGTTTTCATTTTTCTCTAAGGTTTCTCAGCTTCCCAGGAGAAAATCCTGGGCAAAAAGATTTTTCAGGAAATACGACGGTGACAATAAGAGGCTGAGCTAGCTGGGCCTTTCATAGCTAACAATTGCAAAACTGCAAAAGATGTGCAGACACTGTTTAAATGGAATTTACAGCATCTTGGGAAGCTTTTGTTTGGCAGCAGCTTGCCCTGTTTCCCAGCTCTACCTATGCAAATGTTCTAAATCAGGGTCCCTCTTGCAGCCAGCACAGGGGGATCATAAATGACAATTCCTTGCACTTCACCATCACCATATAAACATCCTCAACTCAACTATACTAAAAACTACAAAAATACAGGGGTATCAGAAGTGACAATTCCTTACACTTCACCATCACCATATAAACATCAATAGTGCAGATTGGGGGCTGGGGCAGGCGCTCTCCCTTCTCCAGCAGGTCGGGGATCTCTCGAGTTGGGATTCCATCGTATGGCTTCCCACCAAAGGTCATCAGCTCCCAGATGGTCACTCCTAGGCAGAACAAAGAGTGTCAGTGTTTGGGGTCACAGTGCTTAGACTCCCTCACATGGGCCAGCAGAGTATCCTGGCCCAGTTCTGGAATACAAGCTCTTCTTCCTCACCAGGCCTGGAAAAACACTGAAATTTGGACAGGGGGGACAGGAGGAGTTAAACAAGTGGCTACACAGTGCTCAGCTGCCATCTGGCCTTAAACCATGACAGTCTGCCACTTAACTCTGGAAAAGGGTGAAACAGCACCTTGTGGTAGTCTTCAAGAGCAACTTCCCTCATTTTTATTGGTGTAAGAAATGGCATGATAGACCTGAGGCACATGAGAAAGGTCTGAGGCAAATGAAGGGTGGTAAAGTAAATGGTGCAATAACAATAGAATGCATCACACTCTTTTATCAGAAAGGGAAATGAGTGCCTGATGTACTCTATTATTTTAAGGGGAAAATGCACAGATGTTCTCTAAATTAGAGCATCAACTTCCCACGAAGGTACAGCACTGAGTAACATGAGGTCATTGACTTTGCCTTGCAAGCCATTCACAGCCACTGCTACCATGTCTTCCCTTAAATCTCCTCATGGGGCTGAGTTTATGATAGTGCTGCACTGCAAACCCAAGATTCTCTTTTTGAGAAGCCATAGGATTTGTTTTGGCTTCAGAGCTGGAAATAAAGATCATATAGCATAAGTAAAAGAATTTGTGCCTGAACAGAATCATAAATATTGAAAATGCTGTTCTCACACTGTTTTGTTTAACTTTTATTTGAATTGCAAAGGTCATTTTAAGCACGCCTCAGATCAGTACCATATTTTGACAACTGTCATGCTAATGTGAAAAGTGATGGGCAAAATTACCACATGAGTAAACCACATTTATTTCACCTTCATTCTTCTCCTTGCTGACATTAAATAACTATGGTTAATATTGTTAACTACTGTCAATTGTTTATGGTCTTTTCCTTTCTGATTACAGATGTTCTGGGCTTCCTGCATTTAAAATAAATTCCATAAATGAAGGCATATTTTCTCCTGAGTGATCCAGGGTATGCAGAATTTGAAGAGAAAGAGCAGCTTCACAAGATCAGTTGAACTCTCCCGGGCTCTTTTCAGCTGACTAGAAGAGGGCAGCTACCCAGCCACAGCAAACAGTGTCTTTTGCTGCTACCCACAGGTAAAAGTGAGTAATGAATAGAGCTGCACACCCTTTTGGCTCAGAATAATATGGCAACAGGACATGCAAATAGGACTCCATAGCCCCAGATACTGCTGCAAATTTCCATTTACAAAGGTGTACATGATTTTATTGGTAATAGCTGTAGCAGATAAACAGGCAGAGACCTCAGCAGATGTGGCAAACAGCTCATCTGAATCACCATTAGCAACACTGAAGGAACATCTCATTTCTCAAATATGACTTTCTCTGTGTGTGTAGCTCACCAATTCCCAAGTTATCTGTGAAATTAAATAGATGCTTGTTCTAGTTAGTTTGGAGAGCTTGTCTCTTCCTTTTCTTTCTCTTGCCATATTTGCTCTGTATTATGACAAATTCCCTTTTATCTGACTCTAGGTAGAGAAAGTCCCATAAGCCTGAAAATGTTTTTTGACATTCTTGGCTTTTAGAGTTGAGCTTTTCAAAGACTGCTGAAAATTGTGACCTGCAGCTGTATTTTTATGAATCCATGGCTAAGCTGAAAGAAGTCTTCTTCTGTCATAATAATCAGCCAAAGTGCTACCAGACCAGACCTGGAGGTACTCAGCCCAGTGGGGAACATCATGATAATATATTTCAGTGAGCAGGACAGTAACACAGGAGACAGTAACAACTGCTGCTTAGAGTTACACATTTAAAGGAAAAAAAACCAAACCAAAACCTGAAGAGCAAATGCCTCTGGAATTAACTCCTTTAAGAAAAAAGATATCTTTAACATACTAACACAGCTTGGTTTAATGCTTTTAAAAGACACAACTTTTGAAACTAATCACGTGCAGATTTACCATAGCTCCACACATCACTCTGATGGGTAAATTTCCTGTAGTGTATGCACTCCAGAGCCATCCACTTAATTGGCATCTAGGGAAGGACAAGAGAAATGCAACCTTAGAAATACATTATTAAAACAATACAAACATCCTGTATGAATACAACAACTTTTTCTCCCTGCCTCCTTCAGTGTGAGATTGAAAAAAACCAGAGGAAATGGCTGTTCCTGACCTCTAGAATGGGGCTGTGCCTCATAAAATGTGGAGGTAGAAAAGATGAACCAGTTACCTGCAGAACTTGTGATATTTACTGATTCAGAAGTAATGGAACAACCTGTGTTTTCATCAAACCTTTGTAAAGAGGGACCAGTGCAGAAATTGCATGTACTTCCCCTAAATCTGAAGTGCAGCAGAGAAGGTGGAATGCAGAACCTTTTATTCCTTTACAGTTTGCAATCTCTGCAATCTGAGATAGCAACACTGCTCTCTCAACTGCTCTCTGATGAGGCCATGTTACAATGGAGAGACCAAAACACTTCACCATCCCCATCATCATCATCATTGTGATGGTAAGCAGGCAATGAAGAGAATTTGCAGTGCTTTCTTGTTAACTTCTAATATTTGTTAGAAACCATCCCAGGAGCCATCTCAGCTCTCTGTATGAGCACAGCAGTGGGAAAAGTTGCTCCCCAAACTAAATCAGCAGCCCCACATTCATTGCTGTGTCAGTGAATCATCTCTTCTGACAGAGAAGGGTGTGCAGGCAAACCAAACCTTGTTCCTGCATTCCAGCCCATCATCTTGAGTTCCTGTTAAAATGGGATTCATGGTGATTCCCATTCCTGAGCTGGGCCCAGCAGGCATAGCTGATGCCTCAGGTTTTAGCTTCTATATTTTTCAGGCTCTGTGCTGCTTCAGTGTGTAGTTCTGAGCTCCACAGTAGGGGATGGTGAGCTCTCTGCACAGAGCAGGGAGACAAAACAATTCCTTCTCTAGCTGGGAACCAAGGACAAATGATCCAAATCTCAGGCCCAAGAGCACAAACAACTGTGAACCCAAGAGAGAAAAACAAGAAGGATGGGACTTCACAACCTAAAGCTAAAATTGGACAATTAATTCCAATATGCAAATGGACCAGAACTTATAAAAGTGAGAGCTCCTGTGACCAGTTGCCCATTTTGTGACCATTTTGGTTCATCTTGGGTGCAGCCCTGGCTGGGCTCTTGTGCTGCCCAAGGTGGATCCATTGAAGCCTTTTAATAAATCCCTACTTTATTCTTTAACTCTATCTAGTCTCTGTTCTAGGTCAGCCTTTACAAGGCCTCACAGCGCTGCAGTCCATGGATTTCTGAAGGACAAACATTTAGGAGATTTTTACCTGGCAGGGACTCCTATAGGTTGCCTCCAATTTGGAATTATGGAAGAGGTACTGGAATAAACCAAAGGCATGAGTAACTGCAGGCAAAATCTGAACAGATGGTGGGTGTAAAAGCAGAGGATGTGTCTTCATTCAAACCTTATGAAACTACCTTCCATGAAGTTCACTAATGAACATAACCTATAGAGTTAAGGCAAAAATAGCACCTTGTAATAAAGGCTGCCTTAACTCTTGCAAAGACAGTTCATCCTACCCCACTGAACTCTGCAGGAGTGCACTGCTTTCATTCCCACTGTATCCCAGATGTGAACAGGTGCTGAAGGAGCAAAGCTGCCCTGTTCATGGTGGGATAACTCAGGTTGGAAGTGATTCAGGAGGCCTCTAGTCCCACCTCAGGTTCTCAGCAGGTTCAGGCCAAGTTACTCAGAGATTTGTCCAGTCTGGACTTGAAAACCTTCCAGGATGGAAACTGCACCACCTCTGTTGACAACTACTTGACTGTCCAGTCTGAACCTCCCTTAGCATGCTCTCAATACTGATTTCACAGGATGCTTTTCTGGACCTGGGAACTGATACATCTGCCCTAATTCCTGCTCCAGAGCTCTCAGCAGGCTAACAAGTCCAAGACATAGCTGCCAGGGAAGAGCTGGTTTGCCAGGGAACTCTTTTACTGTCATTCACTGTCAGATGGAGGGAAGAGGATGAGGGGTTACCAAGAAGAGGATTACAGAAATGAAGGAAACCAGGGGAAGCTGCCAAAATCCCACCTTCCCTGCCAGGAGGTATCTTCCCATGGGGGAATGGGAAAGCACTGGTGGCTCCTCTCAAGCTCTTCACCTCCCTGACTGCCCTGGCCAGGTGATCCAAGGGCAGCAGGCACACAAACAAGGCAGCAGCTCATCCCAGAGAACAGCTCACACTGGAACAGCTGTTTGTCCCAGACAAGGGCATGAGTGATCACAAAAAACCACAGAAAGCAAACTGAACATCCAGGAAAAGGAATGACAGGTGAAGCAAATCCTTTGGGATTCTCTGACAGATTGAAATGGGGAATTTCAAGATGTTTAGGGAGCAGCCAGAAGCACCATGTAGTTACTGCCTCCTGAATTTTATCATGCATTAATCTGAAATTGGCAGAAATGAAGTAAGGCACTACATGGCCATGGTGTGGTTTGCTGGAAAGTAATAGGGGAAAAGATCTGGTTTGAAAATTATCCTCAGGCTGGCTTTTAGTGGCCTGGCATTCAGCATGGTATTGGAGAGGTGGACAAAAGACATAACTACACAGGCTCTTCCAATGTGATAGAAGAGCTAAATTCTCATGTTCTGTGGCTTTCCCTTTTGTTTTCACAAAAATTACTTGTCTGGGAAACTGGGACTGCATGTTATTGACTGGCCAGAGAAACAGGCTGGGCAGGAATGCCCCAGAACATCCACCAGTCATTGAACCAAAGTATTCAAAACAAGACACACCTGGAACATGTGAAAAAAAACCCTAATTCTGAGTGTGAAAACTGCTTTTGATATTATAATTCAGTGCCTGGAGAAGCTCACTGTGCAAAAAATGAGCAGCTTTTATGTGTGCTTTCACCAGAGAGTCCTTCTGCAAGGCAGGGCTTTGCTCAGTCACTGACAGACTCTCTCACACAGACAACAGTCCCACAGGGGCACATCAACCTCAGGAGGACCTGCAGGAGCTTTGTCACAGCATGGCAGATTCACCTGCAGACATGTTCAGTGCTCACCTTGCCCCCATCAGCATTGTACTCCTTTTCATCCCCTTCCAGGAGCCTGGCCAGGCCAAAGTCAGTGATTTTCACGTGGTTTGGTGATTTCACCAGGACATTCCTGGCTGCCAGGTCCCTGTGGACAAGTCTCCTCTCTTCCAGGTACATCATTCCCTGAAGGAAGAAGAATAGTACAATAATGCTAATTAGCCTTACATGGTTTTGGAGAGCTAACTTTCACTGGTGACATGCAAAATGGCTGGTTCAATTATGAGTATTTACAATGAGAAAATGGCCTAGAGGGGAGAAGTTCAACATTTTTCTTGTTCAGAACAGAGGCAGGATTAGATGACCTTGAGTTAGTCCAGTATGAATGATTCTGTAAGATTCAATTACCAAAGAGAAAAAACCCAATAAAATAATATATAGATAGCTCTTTTGCTTCAGCAAGCTTAAAATCTGGAAATGTGAGACAAAGAAAAGAAATATTATGGTCCTTGTTCTTCAGACAGGAAATGTGATGACCATAAAAAAGAATCAATTTAGCCAAAGCTCCCCAGAAATCAGATCATACTGGGAAACAATCCCAGCTCTGTCACATTCCAGACAAGTGTCTTTAATTCAAGACAAAGATTCTTGTCCATCTTCAAATGGTTTTTCAGTTGGTCACAAATTTTCCCTACCCTCAGTGGATTAGAAGGAAAACAATTCTTTATTCCAAGTGCTGCAACTCCCTCACCTTTTCACTCCCTTAAAATATTGCCTGTAGTATTCTAATAAGGCATTAGATCAATGGCCCTTTTTTATGAGCATATATATTCTGTTAGAAGTATATTCTGTTAACAAGCCCATCCAGCTGCCTTTAAAGATAAGGTAACATATACTCAAACTGCCTGGCCTTAACCTTATTCTTATTCTGATGGGAGACTAACCATCCACCAGCATATGGAAATTTGCACCATGCTTTGTGACACTGAGATCAACACCAAAGCTTGGTCTGATTAATTATATAACACACAAAGGATAGTTGGGCAGGGTTACAAGCCTATAATTTCATTAAAAGGCATTTATGACATTAACCACCATTATTAGAACTTAGAGATGAAATCACACACTTGACAATTGCCTTTAAGGTATCTCTTAATATATTAGCTCTGTATAATATATATGATAATTTTTAAAAAGTCATTGCTGAATTCCAAAGAGATCATATTATCCCATAATACAGATGATAATTCAGAGAGTCACATGCAGTGATTAAAATAACCAGATTACTCAGTGCCATGGGCCAGATTTGATTATCCCTCCACAGCCTGAGGAGATCACAGGTACCTGTTCCCACACAGGCTGCCTCCCATGGTCTGTGGAGCCAGCCCTGGCACAGGGTGCCCAGGGAAGCTGTGGCTGCCCCATCCCTGGAAGTGCCCAAGGCCAGGCTGGATGGGGCTTGGAGCAGAAAACACCAAAACATGTTTGGAGAAGCCTGGGATAGGGGAAGGTTCCCTGCCCATGGAAGGGGATGGCACTGGATGGGCCCTAAGGTCCATTCCACCTCTAGGATTCTACCAAAGTGCATGTATCTGCAAAAAAGCATCAAATAGATCCCTAAACTGGTTTTAGGTGAAAGATTTCAAGGCAAACCCCAGTAAAAGCTTTGAAAATATGTGGGAGAATGTTTGGCATAAACAGTATTTCATGCAGTCAACATGAAGGGCTGTTAAAGAGGACACAGGGGCTCTTTGGCATAAAGCAACTGAAGTTATTCTTTAGAAGCACTGCTACTTACAGCAAACACACCCTCCTGCCAAGAGTAAATCAATATTTTTGGCTTTTGACCATCAGAATTGTAAGTCTTTAAAAAAAATAATGTTTTTTGACATCAGGTTAAAAGACAAATCTCATGGGCTAAATAATTGTGAGTCACACAAGAATCACACCCTCATACCAGTTGATGAGGGAATTCTGCTGGCATCAGAATATATCAGGCCCAAATAAAATGATACTCTTTAATAGATTAACTTGTACCTATCAGCATTGAAACAATATGAAAATGCTGCAGATTACTTTTGGCCAAAATGAAAATACAGGATTTGTCTTGTTAAAATCAAAACAGGTGAGCTGTACCAAGGCTTCAGCCTCCTGTTTCTAGTTAATGATGGCAGGGATGGATGGTGAGGTGTGCAAAACCATCCTTCATTGAAAGAGTTACACAACCAAATTCCTAACCATGCCTCTTTGGTCTTATTTCACTGTCTCTAATTTCAAGCATTTTTTCAAACCTATAAGCCAAAGCTTTAGGATGTTTCACTGTTTATTCTATTCATTCATTTCCATTTATTCCAATTCTGTGCTATTATTTAGCATCATTTTAGCAAGATTCTATTTTATTCATCCTAACCTCACACTCTTTCAAGAACTAGAAAAATGTGTAACCTCCAACACTTTCACTGCTGCTCAGTGAAAAACCACAGCTGGTCTTCTTCTCTTTTCTGCCCAGAAAGAGGGCAGAAATAACTGCCTGTGGATCATTGCAGGAATAACCTTCTTGGGGCTGCCTCCCACCTGTGTTACCTAAAAGCCAAAACCAGCCCCTGTTGGATTGGATGGCAGCTACAAAATCCTCAGCAGGGCCCATGGTCTGCAAAAATGTAAATCCTCTTGGGAATACCCAGTGGAAACACGTCTGATTTTCCTGATACCCTATCAACAAGCTTTAAATGTGGGTGGCAGAAGTATAAAAGAATATATATATGTATAAAAATATATTAAAATAAATTATATATATATATATAACTTATATAAAAATAAAATATAAATATTATATATAAATACAAAAATATATAAATTAGATTATATATAAAATAATATTATATATATATACACATATATATATATATATATATATATATGTATTTCCAGTAAATGAGACTATCCAAATGAGGGAAAAGGATCTAAAAAAGGGGAATCCTACAGTATTCACTGCAGCAACACTGTCTAAACATATATTGTGCAGAGAAGCACTATCTGAAGATATTTTTGAACCTGGCAGGGAAAAAAAGCTCTATATGAATCTTTAATCTATCAATATGATACAGAGGTATGATAAAAAAATACATAGTTGGTGGCATCCCCACCCAAAAACCCATTAGAGAATACCAGGAGGACATTTTATGAGTTGAACAGAATAAAAGTTATTTGTTAGAAGCCATGAAAAAACATCTTCTGCAATTTCATTAAGGGGTGTTTATAAATTTTCTGGCACTGTGACAGTTTTGGAACGGTCACTTCAGGTACAGTCAGGTTTGGGCTTTTTACAAGAAAAGTATCAGACCTGAAAATGAGAAAATGTTCTGGCAATAAATACAAGTGGGACAGTGGAAAGGAGACTTTGTGTCAAAAATCCCATGGCACAAGAGAAAACGATCTGGGACAGCTTCCTGATCATCCCAAGTGCTGAACAGTGGAGAAAACATCAAATTAAGTTCATAAAGTATTAGGACTTCCAGTGCTGTGCAAGTATCACCAAAGCTGGGCTGGTGGAGGAAATAGGAGAATAAAAGGATTTTTTAAAAAAGAAAATTAAGTTTTTTTGGCAAATCACAGCTTTGAGATCTGCCTTGAATTTGCTGTTCCCTTACTTTATTATAACCAGTGTTACCTCCTGCTACTGCTGTAATTTGCCTGCCAGTTTCTGGGGGAAGCTCTTGAGCAGAGCCTCCATCTGTACAGCTCAGAGCGTGAGAGGTGTGAGCACAGACTATTCCAGATGCTGTAACTTAACTTCCTTCACTTTTCTGGACTTTTGGGAGTCCCACCTCCCTGCTGAGGATGCTTCTAGATTTGTTTCAAAAGTGGCAGCAGCTACTGTGCAGGGAATGCCCAACTCTGACCTGCAAGTCCTGCCTGAAAGTTCTTTCCCTCAAGTGCCTGGATTTCATCTCCAGAAAAAAAATACATTCATTACTCAGGACAGAATTCAAACAGGTATGTAAGTCATTAAATCAAAATCCTTTTGGGATAATTGCTAGAGATGAACTCAAGTGTGTTGAATCACTAACTGAAGTTTAACATATGTCTTCTGTCTTGCACGACACATCACTTTGCAAGAACAAATCAAATTTAAAAAGTATAAAGACCTTCACCTGCCCCAAGATCTTCAGCAATACCAGCCCACAGCAAACCCCCTATAAATACTTTTTCTTCATTTGTTTTCTACACTAAATATAATTGCTTCCCTAAATTGAGAGCATGTTGATCTTATCTCACCCAGGAATTAAGAGCAACCTGTTTTTTTTAATAATAACTTCCACCCACCAAAGCCAGCACACATGGCAGACTCATCAAATTCATTCTTCAGCTACATGAAGGAAGAAAATTTCAAGCCCAGCTCAATTCTCATGGACATTAATCTGCAGCCTTGGAGACTGCTCTCTTACCATCCTAATACCTCAAGGCTTGCTTAACAATCTGAGTCACTGTAGAAAGCCTCAAATGATCATCTTTTCCCCTGCCCACCCCATGGAAAAGGTGTCATTTTGCTTTGGGCTAAAAATACACTTTCAAGGAAAACACTGTGCCCTTGGTTGGCAGGAACAAGCACACTGAGGCAGGCAGCTGCTCCTCCAGGGAGAGCTGTGGGACAGAAACACTGACACTGCTCAGAAACACTGACACTGCTCTGCTGCAGAGCTGGGATATCCTGGGCTGGCCTGAGAGCTGGCACTGGAAGGTGTGGCATTCACATTCTCTGAAAACATCCCTTCACCCAGGATTGTTCTCCTGGGAAGCTGAGGAGCCTCAGAGAAAAGGAAAACAATTCTTCTCTCATTTGCTTCTCCTGTGTTGTGCTCATGTGGAATGTGTTTGGAAATTGTTTACCCACAGGTGATTGTTCCATTGGATTCTGCTGTCAGTTGTTTTCACTCAATGGCCAATTGGTGCCAAGCTGTGTCAGGACTCTGGAAAGAGTCAGGAGTTTTCATTATTATCTTCTTAGCATTCAGTAAGTATCCTTGCTGTATTCTTTAGTATAGTACAGTATTCTTTAATATAATATAGCATAATAAAGTAATAGATGAGCCTTCTGAGAACATGGAGTCAGATGCATCATCCCTGCCTGCCATGGGAGTCCCTACAAATACAACAGGAGGTCACCTCACAGCCCAGGGGAGGGA